GACGAATGTTCACCGTTTTGCGGGCGAAAATCTCCGCGCAGAAATTCCCTGACATGCCTGGAGACCTGCCTTCCACGCGGCCCCGCTCATGCTCCGCCCGGATGCCCCTGTACCGGGCTGCCGCCGCAAGCGGTTAGCACCACGCGCCGCCCTCCCTACGATACTCACCCGTGCCGCCGTGCGTACGCCTCGGCTCGCACCGGGTCGCGCGCCGCCACGCCCACCACCTGCACATCTGCCAGCCGCCGCGCAGGCCAGATCATCGCGTATGTGGCAACCTGATGCAGGCCGATGGGCGCGACGTGGGGGGGGGGGGCGGGGTGATAAGGGGTGCGTGAGCGACAATCACGAGGGGAAGTTGCAAGGGCAGTGCGTTAACATGCCCCAGGTGCAGGCCTCAGTCCCTCCACTGCGCTCCTGCACCCCGTTCGTATTTGTGCCTGCGCCTTCCTACACACCCCCTCACCTGGGAGGCACCCAGGATGCCGATGCGCAGGGCTGGGCGCTCTGCCTTGGGTGGCCCATCGCGCCCCAAGAAGTTAAGCACACGCCTCAGCTGCCCGCCGTCCAGTGCGCGCGGCGGCTCCTCCAGCCCGGCCCCGCCGCCTTCGCGGCCGAGGGGCGCAGCAGCCGCCACGGGGCGCAGCTGGCGTTCACCCCGCCGGCATGGGCGCCCGCGGCCTATGAGGGGGCGCTGGCGAGCAGACACTCGCCGTGGGGCAGCGCGGAGCGCCTGTGGCCGCGAAACTGCGGGTTCACTGAGGTGATTGTGCTGCATCACTCTCGCTCGAGCCTAGGCGACCTTTGGAAGGTTGGCAAGGGACAATCTGATGAAGCGGATCTCGTCGGGCGTATGTATCGATCCGCTATCATATGTCAGACATGACCGTTTCTAATACATGTCTATTTGACTACTGATGCAAAGATCATCGTGGGCACTTCGAATGGTGCCTTTGGCCTTTTCAGGATTCGGACATGCACCGCTTCTTTTTGACCACGGTATTGCTTGGCTGCACCCTCTCGCCTTCGTTTGCTGTGGCCCCAGTGCCCCCTCGCCCTGCTGTCAGCACCGGCTGGAGTAACGGCGCACATGCGGCAGGTGTCCCGGGCGATCCAGTATCAGGGTCACCGCCGCCTATTGCAGCAGCTGCGCGTGGAGCTTCACGTATCACCGCGCAGGATCGTCCGCGGCACGCCGCTTACCGCAGCGCACATGCGCGGGTCGACAGGGTTGGCAGCGGCAATGTCGCTGTGGGGCGAGCCTCCCCAACCGTGGCTGCGGCTGACCCACTGGCAAATGTTGAGAGCCTCACAGAGTGCCTTTACAACAAGGTTGGGACGAGCGCGGCTCACTGGCTTGTGCGTGGGGCGGGGCTTGGAGATGCCCTGCTTATTCCCAACGCGATGCCCCTACCGAATGCATGTGCAAGCGACTCGGGGCAACACCCAATTTTGCCTTGTGGGCCGGTTGGTAGGGTGGTGTAGAGGTTGATCATGGGTGGAAAAATGTGTTGAGATGAGCGGTCTGCCACTTGTCATGGCCCTCGCGGGCTCCACTGCCCCCTGCTTCCCTGCGTCCCCCAGAACAACCTGAGCTGCATACCCGTGTACTGCCGCCCCGGAGTGGTGGTGCACGTGAGCGAGCAGCGCGCGCGATGGCGATAGACAGCGGTGGGGCGGTGCCCCGTATCTTGAATTTGTTGTGGTGGGAGCTCAGCTGCTTGCGCAGGCCGAGCCAGTGGACGCCACCCAACCTCCCATCATGGCAGCCGCAGGTTGGCCAGGGCATCGCCCGCGACACCCCGCAAACCATACGGCCGCAGGGTGATGGCGTGTTCCTGCCGCGCACGTCGTTTGTGGGCGTGGTGTGGGCTCAGGACATCCACCGCGAGTGGTTTGAGGTGCGGGCACCACGAGGCCGGGTCGCGTGAGGCCGAGGCTCCACTGTAGGACCTGCGGCACCCTTGACGACCCATGTGCCTGTGCTGTCCTGATTCACCCAGCCATGCTGGTCGAACTGCCGGGCTGTCAAGTCTTGAGCCCCATAATCGCCGCCCCCTGTGCGATTCAGCGGCCTCGAGCCCCCCGCCCCCCCAGGCCTACACGTCCTGGTCCTACGAGCCCCTGGAGTTTGCCAACACAGCGGCCGTCAAGGGCTTCACCGACGTGTTCATATTCTTCAGGTGGCGCGCAACAAACACAGGTGGGGCGCGCAGGGCGGGGCTGGCGGGCTGCGCGGCCCCTCGGCCCTCTAACTCAGCGGCTGGACGTCCCCTCCTCCCATGTCCTGATTGAAGCCCCCATCCCTACCCGCTCGGCTACCGACTGACTCACAGCTTGTCCCCGCTTCTCACCCAGGCCCGTATCACGGCCAGACCCCCAGCGGCCGCGAGTCATCTGACTACGGCGTGATGCGGCTGACCACTGACAAGGCGGCCCTCGTGACAGACGTGACACTCTGGAGGGGCGGCTTTGCGGAGGAGCGCGGGGCGCTGGTGGGGGCGGCGGCTGGGGGGATGGGGGACGGGGCGCGAGACAGTGGCGGTGATGGGGGGAGGGGAGGACAGTCGAGGGCATGAGCAAGGGGCCTGCGGTTTGCGGTATCTGGTACACTTTCACTGCTGTGTGGCGCGGGGTCTGTTGATGCGTGCTG